AATGCATCAATCTGCAGGACTGTAATGAGTAAGGTTGTGCAGCTTTCTCTTAAGCCCTGTGTGACATTATACATGTTGCCAAAATACACAGAGGGAATATAAAAACTCAAAATGTATAGGTATATTAAGCCCAATTTCCACATACTCCGATGACTGCTGTTCCCTTCCCCACTGGATCCATTTCTGGAGCATGAGTGCAGCAGAGCGCAGTCATGAGCAGCTGTACACACATCTCAGGAGAACTACAAGATCACACGGGAATGAAGAGAAAAAAGTGCAAACAACATGTTGCTATGTCTTTCTGAGGATGATTTGTTGTCCGTTTGGTGCCTGTTTTGACGTAATGTTAATAAATTGATGGAAAATACGATTGTGATCCGTGGATTGCTTTTCATTTTGAAATTGACCTGATGCTCTCTTCGTTTCCTTGTCTGACTTCCTGTCAGTGTTGTTTATTCTGTCCAGCTTGCTGGTGCCTGCAGCGTACTCCGTCGAAAATAAACCCACAGCATATTTGAAACGGATCAGAGCGTAGTGGCTCTGCTGGCACGCTCAAGAGACGGACCGCGGCGCCCGCTGTGGAAACACAATCATTGACTAGAGTGGAAGTGAACAGCGGAGTAGTGTGTGGCACTGACGGACCACGGCGCAAACAGGAAATGTGGAAATTGGGGGTTACGGCTGACAGCTCACTACAATGATAATTTCCATAAAAATTAATGAACAAGAAAAAAGGCACTTGGAAGCAGTCAAGTGTCAAGGCAAAGCTTTGCCCTTTTAATTAACAGTCAATGTCAGCTGATGTTTTGTATTGTAAGTCTTGGCTAATAGCTATCAAATTTCACACAAACCTCTTGCGTACATGTTGCCGTTCATTGTGGAGCTTATGCACCAAGACCCAAGGGGAGGAACTACAGGCATGAACCACTGCACAAAACTCCCTGATAAACATTAGTGCAACATAACAAAAGAGATCAATTCCAAAAATGAAACAGGGGCGCTTTAGGAAGATGTATTGGCAGTGAAAAATGTATTACATGAGTTAATGATGGTCCGATAATGTTGCTTAATTAGACATAAAACAAGTCTTGTTCATTTCACTCAAAGGGAAAACAAGTCAACAAATTCAAAAAGTGTAAAAACCACATCAGTTCAATCAAAACACTTGTACCTTACAAGACACTGAAAACCCAAAATCCTTCTGAATATGTTATAAGTGTCTTATAAACTCTTAGATAATGTATTGGAGAAGTAATATATTTCATTTTGATCTGTATAAAAATACTGTTATTCAAGTTTTTCCATACTTTTTTTGATATTGGATTAAAACTGTGGTTTTGACAAATAAGCATTCCAATCATTCCTTGAACCAATCACAGGAATAATCACACAACCACTATCCAGCTGTTGAGACTTAAAGCTGCTGATATAAAATTGACATGTGATCTAATTGATCTATTTCTGTAGGTGGTATTGAGCTTGGCAACAGGGGGTTTGATTAATAATACATATCAAACTATAGCTGATGCTACAGAGCCATCATTCTGCATTGGATCCACAGATCTGATGTTTTCTGCAAAGACATGCATATGTAAATCAAAGTGTACACCAGATAATTTGCATCAGCAGAAATACATTGCACATATGAATTAAAGTCATCTTTAGTACGACTAAACATTATAATCGGACTGTCAAACGATCATTTTTTTTATTGTGATTAATCACATTTTTAACTGCATGTTTGGATTCCATTCATTTGTATTTCCAAACAGTTTTTTGTCATGCTTTATTTTATATTTTCTACAACTGTATCTTAGATAACGTATTTTACTTCCTGTTTGGATAAAAAAAAAAAAAAAAGCTTTTATTTTGAAAATAATTAAGGAACGTCCGGTAGATCAAAAGTTATGGCATTAACTTAACCGTGGAGAAAGGATCTCAATACAGATTGAACAGTCAATGAAAACAGCAAAAGGGAACTGTGAAAAAAGAGAAATGTTTGATGTCACATGGTGAATGTTAGTTTGGACTCGTCAACTGAGCTGTCTAGGAGTTTTTATAACTTCTGATAAGTTAGGACAGACTGAGCACACCAGGTACAGAGAAGAAAATTATGAAGCAGATGTAACAAGAACCGGAGAAAGACAGGAACGAAGAATGAACAAACCAATTTAACCAAACAGGAAACAAAGAAGACACAAGACAGACTGATTGAAACATCTAAGCTCTGTATTTCTCATGTCCACGTTCAGCTTATCCTCCATCATGCTGTCTGATGTCACCTGTTCATCCTTTACTGTACTGTGTTGCATAAAGCGCTGAACACACAGCAATGTTCACATACAGGCCTGCAGAGTCCCTGAGGACTCAGCATCCTGGGAACAATGGATTCTAGATAAACATAATTTATTATTGTTGCTCCATCTGTTGGAGAGACTCCCAGGAGGAGGTGGCACAAAGAGAGGAGCGTCTCCAGCCACTGTGAGAGCTCTCTATGTTTTATTTACAGGCCTTGTTAGCTCGTCTTATCATTACCCTGCTCCTGGGTCTGAATGGGAATGATTAAAGGTGCTGCATTATATCTCCAATCTGCAGTGTTACTTTTAGCTCTAGGCTGTTTTTTCATTTTGCTTCAGCTATTATGTCTTTATTCTTTTCTCATCTTCCCAACAAGCTCTTCACCCGCTGTACTTTTGGCCATGAGAGAAAATGAGCAGGCTCCGATTACCCTCCTCTTCAGCAGGTTAAAGTGGGGAGCAGGTGAAAAGATGTGAAGGGAATCAAAAAGGAGTGGGGTGGAAACATTGGACACAAGGTTTTTGTTTCTTCTTATGCAGGCCTTAAACGTGACCAAAGTGTAAGCTAATTAAGTTGCGGAAAGGTCTGTCAGCTTGACTGCTTGGTAAGGTGGTCAAAAACAGTTTGAGCTGTCTTTAACTTTGTCTTTTGTCTTGTCAGGATACTTTGAAAAAATAAACAGGGCATTATGGTATTGGCTCAAGCTAAATCTAAAGTTCAATAGCTTAAAAATGGTCGAAAAAACGATTAGCAATGCTAAGTCCAGCACCAAGCAGGAAGCAGTAAACCACACTGATGGTAAAAGTTGGTGCCAGTGTCCTAACTAATACAAGTTTTAAAATTGAGCATTTGCTTAGCTTTGAAAGCAGTGATTGTTAGCTCCAGTGGGCTAGTTTAAGTCTGCATGGGCTTGCTTAAGAAACAGGGATATGCAGCTCCTTATGCTAATTCAGCTAAAGCCTAATGCATCACAGATAATGCAAACCACTGCACACATGGGACGAAACTACTTCAGTTTCTGCTTATTATGCAGCAGGATAGTGAATACTACCTGCAAGAAAATTGCTGCAGTTTTTTTGAAATAGTGCCCTTGCAATAGATGCAGTATTTTTTTAATCTTATCCGTATCCGTTTTTTGTCTGTATTCACATGTGTGCATGTGTGTCGAAAGCCCTCTGCACAATATGCCTCGAGAACGTTTGCCAAGAAATAGCTACAGCTACTTAATTGTTATTGAACAGTTGTCTCATAAATATGCATTAATGGGAGTGGGTAATGAGGATATTCAAGCTAAAAGTGGCTCATCTGAAACTCTGAGCAACAGGTCCATGATTCAAGGTGTTACAAGTGCACCTGTCAGATAACATGCCAACTCATCCCCGCGCAAACCTAAAGGGAGGATTCTCCTCATCTCCTCTGTCACATCACACAGGCCTGTGAGCCTCCACACCATCTGCCTCTGCTGCTGACAAACACTTTTAAACTCCCTGCACATGGAGGGAAGACAGACTCCACTGCGGGTAGGGGAACTGGATGATAAAGCTGCTTCTTTTGAAGACCAGAGCTTTCACTCCAGAAGAAGGAGCTCCTTAAAGCCTTGATGCAAGAGAGGGGCGAAGGAGGAGGGAGGAGGAGGAGCGGAGGGCTTGGTTGCAGCAGCGATAGTGTCAAAGCACAAGGAGGTGAAATAATACACAACACAGGAGGGTCTGGTTGCTAATCAGTGTGTGACAGGGGAAAAAAATGAAAGCACCCATTGATTGCTCTGCAGGTGGGCAGGAGAGGTGGGAATATCAAGAGCACGTGCATGTCTTGGTGACTCTCAAACGCGTACCCTTCCTGCTGTGAGTGCATGCAGGAGTCGGAGAAAATGAGCAGTGATTAAAAATCGACTGTGTGTTAACGGGCTGAGGCAATAAATGTTTCAAAGCAAACACTGAGCATTTTGCTGCTCCTCTGTAAACCCGCAGAACGTCTTTCTAGTGTTTCCCGCTTTGCTTTCTTCCCACACACGAGTCTGCTGCAAATATGGCCAATTATACCAGTTCAAGTCAAGTCAAGGAAAGTTGAGTATTTATATAATGCAAAATCACAATTTGCCATGTCGTGGGTTTCAATGTCACATAGAGAATTAGAAGGCGAATAGACTTGAGGAGGGAAAATATGGATCTGAAAAGACTTTATTGTGAGCCGGGGCAAATCTGCAGATTCTCCCACTATACAATTGTATTTTTCTGTTTCATATAGCCCATCACCTATGCCAAGTCATTTATGCCGTTGTACCTGTTTTGTACCCCAGGTTACAAACTGGACAAGCACAGAATATATCCAGGGTAAAAAAACAGGTTAGCTCACTTTAACCTCGGGTGTAGTCTGAGGAGCCGGTATATTTTAGGCTGCTTAACAGGAAACAAAGTCAGAATATAAGATTTGTATAAAAACACAGGTATTCTCTAACCTAGATTAAAAAAAACAAACAAGTTGTGCTTTTATTTTGAAAAGCACACCAGAAGTGTTGATATACTACATTCAGCCGTGGGAAGTTTTCTACGTCTGTAGTCATGTTGGATGAATACCTGGGGCTGTCAATCCGTGTTCAGCACACAATATTTAACAACACTGACATGAAGTGTGTGTGTGTGTGTGTGTGTGTGTGTGTGTGTGTGTGTGTGTGTGTGTGTGTACCGTCTCTGAAGTCTTACCTTAAACAGGCCATGCTTGTGGCTGTGCTGGCCCAGCCACACTCCACTGCCTGGGGTGAGTTCCATCTGAGGAGGGTCTATCACCCGCTCGTAAATCCTGCCAACAAGAAACCAAAAATGTTTAGTTATAATAACCCCACACACACACACACACACACACACACACACACACACACACACACACACACACACACACACACACACACAACACACACACACACACACACACACACACACACACACACACACACACACACACACACACACACACACACACACACACACACACACACACACACACACACACACACACACACACACACACACATATTTCTTTCTCTCTTTCAGTCCTGGCCTGGCAGAAACACTGATCCAATACAGCTGAATATCGGAGTAAATCCAACCAACCGTGTGCATGTCCTCTCCCTCCCTCCTTCCCTCCCTCGCCTCCCTCCCACACCCTTCATGAGAAGCAGAGAACGAGGAGCATGGCTGCTCTCCTCAAGCATGACAGCCTGTCTCGCCCCACGGCTCTCTAACACGCTATTGATATCTGGACGTGGGACATAGGCTGGATTAACTGCCCGACGCCTGGCACAAACAGACTTTGGCATTATCAAGGCAAACATCCTCAGCGTTGTTCAGCACCAGTTTTTCCTGCACTAAGGTGGGCTTAACGATGCTAGTGAGCTCAGATGGGCCGGTGTGAGGATGTCAGGGAACAATTTGTCAGGGTTTTCCCTCTCCTCCTCCTCCTCTTCACTCCATGAGCACATGCAGAGAGAAACACTCAGAGTAGAGAGCTGATTTCTCTCTTGTCTTCTATTTCAGCTCCAGTGGAAGCTTTGATCTCTGACAGGGAATTGCTACATATACTACAACTTAAATGCCAACAGTTCTTAAAATAGCATTAGTCACAATTGTAAAGCATCATCAATGTAAGGAGGCAGTAAATTATCATGCAATTTCTTCTTTTTCCTATGAGTTGTAGTGGTGGTTTCTCAAATGTTCAAGCCATAAGGTAACATTTTCAAGCAGCTGCAAAAGTGAACGGCCATTTACTAATCATTTAAATCCTCTACTGTAAATCACATCCTATGTATCTATGAGTTAAACCTACAGAGCAATTAAGTGTTATTTTTGTCATTCACACAGGGCTAAACTACTCTGTGTGAAGGAGTCAAACGTAGTTTATGCTGCTAATCCGTGCAGCTCTGCAGCTTTCACAGTGCCGGGCAGCGTTTGCTTTCATTTGCCAGAACACACTGTTGACTGCAGATGGCTCTCCTTCAAATAAACACCAAGGAGGCATGACCTGAACACACAAGCAACCTGTCTTGCACAAAGCAGACATAAATCATGGTTCTGAAGAGAAATGGAGTTATATCATGAGTTGGGTTAGGGTCAGTGCTTCTGCTTCAAAGCCTATTTCTTGTTTGCTAACATGTTATACAAAAAATAAAAAATACAAATTAAGATATTGAAGTCCATTGAAGCTTTTGTCTGGCTTCAAGTTTTAATTCAACGCAGGTCATTTTGTCTTCATGTTGCATATGTGAACGCATCCCATGTACGCAGGCCATAGAGCTCAACAGTGACCCACTTTTTCAGCTGCTCTGGTTCCAAAAGTAAATTTCCCCATTTAAATCTCAATTGTCATTTCATAAAATCCTTCTATCAAGAGATTGAAGCCTGGAACCAAGATAACCAGCTACCCCCAATACTCCTGACTCTAAAACATTTATTCTGCACCAAAACGGCATTCAAAGCGAAGAAAAGGGCAAATGCACAAGACTGTGTACATCATTTTCTTCATGAGTTGACAAACTACCAATCCCACAATCCATTGCAAATGATATCACTTCTTCCTGAATGTCACTGTTGTCATTGTTAAAGTGTTTATATTGTTAGTACAAGCGTTGTACTATGTTGTAGTTTCTTGTGTGAATATATAAATTACATTCAGTGCGGCATAACAAGGTTATTAGTACATTTCTTGTTTGCAAACCAACCAGTTGGCTGCTAGAAAAATTATCCGTTTTGCATATGGTGCAGAGGGGCTGGAAACATTGCTATGGTAACAGGGAGTTCAGAGATGTCGCTATGATTGTGGTAGGTGTAGTTCTTTGCCGCGATATCGCAAATCAATCTTTTCCTCCAAGCGAGCCGCCCGGGTTTGAGTCCCACCTGCAGCTCCTTCCCCACATGTCATTCCCCGATCTCTCTCTCCACGGTTTGCGACTCAATCTATCCACTGTCCTTTCTGTCAAATAAAGGCATTAAAAGGGCCAGAAATAAACCTTAAAAGATGTTGCATGTGTGTGATTTGAACATTGAAACTGACAGAATTCTAAAGAAAGGAATGAGACTTTCACTGTAAGAAATGATTCCCCCGCAACCTGTGCCTCTGCATTGTTTCTCACAAATGTAACAAGTCAAAACTCTGAAAACTCGGCCTGCCATTACAAAAACTATGAACATCATATCAAATCAAATCTTCCACTAAGCAGATTCCTTTCATGCATGAAGGGAACATATCCTGCATAGATAGATCTAATAATAAAAGTAAGGATATTGGACTGCCTTACGGAAAGTCAAGTCGGGTGATTTGAATTCTCGATAATCAGGGGGTGGCTCTATATGTTTTGTGCTTTTCCATGCAAATCTGTGAATGCTGCGGGGCTTCAATGCTGTTCAGGCCTCTGTCTGAATCCCCACCTGCTGGGTGAGCTGTCACTGTTAAAGAGAATGTAGAGGTCATACGATTATACTTTGTCTTCCTCAACCTTTGCGTCTCTGCATCCCCCCCCCCCGTCAGCTGCTCAGCGGTGGTGTCCATGCAGGGAACTTTGGATAGAAATGAATGCCGAGCAGGAAAGAGATGTGCTCCGAGGCATATTTACATGCCCTGACACCACAGACTGCAGCCATCAACAGCTCATTATGGATGACATGATGAGTCGGCGTACTTTACAGCTTCATTAGCAGCACTTTTCTATCACCATGGTGCAGGATTCAATGAGTAATTGCTAGTGACACACCAGAGATGAAAAGAATATTAATGGGAATTTACAGGCCCAAAACTACTTACATGATCTTAAAACAAACATAGTCACACAAGTACTAGATTTCTGTCCAAGTTTTTTTTTCTGTCTGTAAGTTGTTAAAGAACCCCTTGAAATTATAACCCCCAAATATTTAGAAGATCTAATCGTAGCCTTTGAATTTCAGCAATAAACAATAATAAGATTTCACAGTTTCAACACTGGAGTCCACGATCCCTCAGTTGCTTTCAAATTGCCCACCTATGCATGAAAGGTTACACAAATTGAACATTTCCTGCTGCTGTTAGTTCACATTTGAAGCACTCAACCAGCAAAAGAAACATTTTGTCACGGAGCAGTTACCTGCAATGCCATGCATTTGTCACTGAGATTTGTGTTGACAGGGATTATTCATCATTCAGTCTTATTTGGCACTTTGTCAAAGCTGTTCTTTTTTTAAATAACACAGGAAGTAACGGCCCAACACCTTTAAATGTGTGAGTCATCAGAATCAGAATAGGATGCATAAACCCTTGCATATGAAATTCACAAATTTTCATTGGTCACTGAATACTGAGTTAAAATGCTTTCACATCCTTTTTATAGTGAGCAGTTAAAGCACACATGCAGCATTAGCTGAAATATCTATATTTGTTCTCAAAGCTATGCAATGGTGATTGATGAATCTGAAGCGTTTGTAAGTTTTGTATTTTTGTGGTGCTACATTCCCTCCAGGGACGCTCAACACCCACATCAGAAATTTAAAATCGTTCAACAACCGCCTGATCATAAACTCATGCAGCCGAAAAATAGAAGGCTGCAGATGACACACAACACCTGTAGCTGTCACTCCTAAAAGCAAACATAATAAATCATTTGCACACCATGCAAACAGCCAAATAACATGCATGTACCTGTTCTTCTGATGAGATTGTAGAATGTAGTGCAACCATTACCACGCCCAATTAAAAGCCAATATCAGAAAAGCTTCCAGTTACATAACTCACAATATCTGAATTTGGATTTGAACACATTTGAATACTTGTTATAATGTTTAAAGAACAGCTTAAATAAACGAATAAGATATTGTAAATGGACTTGAGCTTTTCTAGCGCTTCTCTAGTCTTCTGACTACTCAAAGTGCTTTTACACAGCAGGTCACACCTACACATTCACATACTGATGGTAGAGGCTGCTATGTAGTGAGACCATCAGAAGTAACTAATCCCATTCATACACATTCATAAGCAGCCGACAAAGCAGCAGGAGCAATTCAGGGTTAAGTGTCTTGCCCAAGGACACATTGGACATGTTGCTGCAGGAGCTGGGGATCAAACCCTGACCTTCCAGTTGAGAGACGACCGACTCTACCAACTGAGCCACAGTCTGTTGTGTCTGTTATATTTAAGAGATAAGGAGTCTTTTCTGTGCACAAAATGATCCTTTTGTAGTATTGCACATTACAGTACTAGTTGACCAGTAAACAAGGTCGATGCCAAATATACCAAGGCTGAAATCCAAAATAGTATGTGGAAAAAGCAGTGGTGCTCAGCTGTCCTTAAGCATAAACTAACTGCACCTTAGAAAGGTAATGTTAATCAATAAAAGCTAGTTGGATGTGAAGTGTCTTGCAGGGAATTCATGATACAGTGGAGCCAGATGAACCAGAGCTATCACTTCATCCATAACCAGCAAAATGGGGCAGCAGTGCTCCACTTCCACACAGCAACTCTTAACCTTCATCTTTGCCTGTGTGGATGTGAGTGAGAGTGAGAGAGAAAGAAGAGAGACCCACATCTTGAAACAGAAGAAAGACCCAGGCAGGTGTGAAGAGACTGGGCCATCATTCATCCGAATGGCGAGGATGTAGCAAAGAGAAAAACCATGAGATGTGGAAAGTGGTGCATTATGGCCGGCTCGAGCAGTGGAAGCTGTGTATGCTAGACACTACATAAATCCACAACTGAGTACATAACACATATTTTGTTGACAGTCCACTTCAATAAGCTGCCAGGCCACCTCGTTTCCACCGATTTACCGACTGAAATGAATAAACTACATTTAATCTAGTAGTCAGGATGTGAGCTACACTGGCTGACTGTTTCCCATATTTCATCTTAAGCCTGTGATAAGAGAAAATACATTAATAAGCGTTAATAAATACCAAAAAACACTATCAAAAGCTGTGTCCGTCTATCTTAAGGATTACAAGTCAGAAAATTCTTAAACCAACAGCTTTCATCTTCAAGAGTGAGACGCAATATTTGGGTCTTTGGCAGCCGTCACAGCTCCCGTTCAAAAGAACAATCTCAATCACAGTCTTCATTTTTTCCTCTGCCAATATCTGTCGGCCACTCTGAAAAAACTACAGAGCACTTCCAATTTTCCACTCATTGAGTTTGAGACACTTTCTGTCATGTTTGTGACTTTTCACTGCCAGGGAGACAGAAGTAAGAAATCGAGAG